GCAGTTGCCATCTCCCCATTTCTGAGAGCAGCCCCCAAACCCAGGGAGCCAACCCCAGCAGACCCAGCCTTGTCATGGTGTAACTCTGAATTATTATGTGAACCAACGACTGTTCCCCAAGCAGCTGGCGGATATTGAACACTGGTGTCTGTGCAGAGCGCTGAAGAAGCTTCATCTGCTCATCCCCACAGGCTTTTCTAACAACCACGCCTGTAAAGTTTTCATAAAGTAGAAACACTTGAGGAGCTGGAAGAAAATATTGTGACATAACTCTCATAGACCTCAGCCAATCAGATGGGTCTTCACCGCTTTAAAAGAAAGCCAGATATTTAGATAATAGAACAATTTGTAACAATCCTTCATTCCCCAAATATCAGATTGTGCTTAATATTTTTAATGACATTTTTCTTTTGCACATTTACGGAATTTCTAATTGTCCTACAAGCCCAATTCATCTCACAGCTCTATGTGCCATCCATTTAGTTACCAGGAGTGAGAGTGCATGTCTATTTGGTGACTTGTCTGGGTTCAGGGTCTACTTAAAATTTGCGAGTTGGTATGTGAGGCTTTTTCTCTGTGTGGGCAGTTTGGATGCGAGGTTGATGACCTGAGTCCACGTCTGTGCCAGCCAGCTTGCCGTTACTGTCGCAAATGCCTGAGATAAGCAAGTATAAGCAGCTCACATTTTGGGACACTTAAGTCATGGTCAGTTGGCAAAATGAAGCAGAGCACATTTATGGAAGCCAAGGGGAAGAAGGCGGGGAGCCAACTGGCAGACAGAAGATAAGCTGAGAGCCCCGAGTCCTGTGCGGGGGAGACACTTTGTTCCCACGACATGAGTGAGTGTCCTAAGTGCACACAGGGACAGGGTGGGAACCCAGTCTGAGGGCTCATTTTGTGCGCTTGCTGGCCACACATCCCTTTGCCCGCTCCTTGCCCTTCATCAATCCTTGCTGTTCCTGTCACAGCCATGCTGTGGCCTCTCAGAGCCTCCTGTGTCTCTTTTCCTCGGCTTCCTCACAAGCAGAGAGTGTAGCAGGCTGCACACATGGATGAGCCCCTCCTGCAGAATGGCGTGATTCCACTAGGGGATGAGAAACTGAGCCACAAAGGTGGGAACTTCTTCCTTGGCATGGTCCCCTCTGAGCCTCCGCCTGCCCTGCACTGGGCAAGGAGGCACTGCAGAGCTGCACCCCAGACGCTGAGGAACAGGCTCTCCCAGAAAACTTTATTTAGCCCAAGATCAGCAAAAGAATAGAGGGCACAGGTCCCCTAACTTCCTGACATCCCACAGAGATGAGCCAGATCAAATCACAGTGGGACCTGCAAGAGAGATCTGGGTTCTGAAGGAAGCTGCCAGCCTAGCAGAGGGACAGGACCTCCCTGTCCACAGGGTCATCATGGCAGAGCGGTCCTGTGCATGATGACTAAGACAGGCCGCAGTGCCATGCAGTCTGGGTTGGGGTGTCTGTGAGGTAACTGACTTTGGCTCATGGTTTCAGAAGTCTTGGTCCAGAGGCAGGTGGCCCATCACCTGAAGACTGTGGCGAAGCAGTGTCTCATACTGGGCATGCTTGGCAGAGGAAGCTGCTCATCTCGAGGCACTCTGGCAGCAAAAAGAGACAAAAAGCATCCAGGGTCCCAGTAACCCCTGGAAGGCCAGCTTCCAGTGCCCTTACTTCCCTCTGTGAGGCCCCGCCTCCCAGCACCGACATGGGCTGGGACCAAGTCTTTAACACAGGGCCTTTGTGGGTCTGGGTCGCTCCAGGTGCACACCCTGCAGGCTGTTGATGGTTTATAGCACTAAACTCTCCTCCCACTACTTCAGCCATGAGAACCTGCAGACATCAGCATCAGGCCCCCGGGGGCAGGGGGGGGGGACTGGAGTCTCCCCAGAAGCAGAAGGAATCTGCAGTCCCCAGAAAAGAGGAGTTTGGAGCAGCTCCTCCTCCTGGAAGCCTAGGGGACTCCTAATTCCAAAAAGTCACCTAGCAGGCTACAGTCAGTCCTGGGAGAACTTCCAGGAAACCTGCTCTTTGCACCATTTTGTCTTAATATTTCATGACAGAGACTTTGTGGGCTGGTGTATGCCATCCTTTCCAGCACTCTGGGAGACTGAGACGAGAAAATCACAAGTTTGAACCTCGCCTGGACAATTAGCAACTCAGTGAGACTCCATCTCAAAATAGGAGATAAAAATGGGATAAAAATGAGCTCGGTAAAAAGGTCCTTCACTCAGTTCCTGGTAATGGAAAAACAAATTTCAGAGCAGAATTCAGAAATATTATTCTGATAGGGCAGATGACAGGACTGCTGAGTTACAGTCCGTGGATGTGTCTTAGTGTCTCCACAGCTGTACTTACCTAGCTTGGTCTTCTGTTCCATTCAAATCCAACAAACAGATTCTGCTTTTTTATTATTCAGATCTTAAATTTTGTTGCATGGTTACCATAGAACTCCTCACAGTGAAATTATTTTTTTCTTTCCAAAGATGTAAGATGTTGGAATTCCCAATATTTCCTTGAAATTTGGGGAAAGACTACCTGGTTTGGAGCTAACACAGGATAGAGAACTCCCGAACATCAGTTTCTAAATTCTGGCAAGCGATGTCTACCAAAAGTACTTTTTGCCTAAGAGGAGGGAGCTGGAGGCCCAGAACAAGGAGGCCTGGCATCCTCTGTCCCCTGCCTGCTCCCTGGCTCCAGGGTCCCTCTGTCACTTGAACTGTGATGCAAGTATTTCCAAATGACCCCAAGATGTTTTTCCTCTCCTCTACACTGTTTGTCTTGAAACAGACTAGGTGTTAAAGATAAGCCAGGTTTGGAACTGTGGCTGGACCCAAGTGTGACTAATCGCCAGCCACGCGTGCAAGGAGCACATCTCCCTTTGCCAGAGCTCCCCCTCTCCCCTGTCTCCGCTCAGTCATGTCCTGCTCCCTGACACCACCGCCCCCAGGAAAATGTCTCTGGTGGACAGCAGACTCGGCCAGCACCAGGATGCCTCCCACAGGGCCACAGTATGTGACAGCACGGCGGGGCTGGGCCGTGTGGGTGCCCAAGTCAACAGCTGCTTCCTCCAGATGCCTCCCGCATCCTCCAGCAGCTGCTTCTCGGCTCAGCTCGCTCACCCTGGGGCTCTCTGTAAGTCTTAGATTATAGGCAGCCCCTGCCCCTTTCTGTAAGAAATGCCACTGACAAGCAGAACCTGGGCCATCCCTCCACATTTCCGTGTCCACAGTGGGCCTCGTCGATGGACTGGGCATCTGCAATGTAACATGAACGCAGAATCCTTCTCAGGGCGCCAGGCAGCCCTACCAACCAACTGCTATTGGCTTTTTAAATAAAAATGATCCACCATCCAGGGACTAAGCCCCATTCAGATCTCACAGTCCATCACTGCAATTGCAACCTAGCATTAAGAAGGGGGCCATAAACCAACTCTTCTGATGGCCTCCCAATTTTATGTAGTCAGCATTAAATGAAGACAATCTAATTCTTTTAAACCATCATCTAACGTCACTTGAAGTAAAATATCTCTAAGTTTAGTGACAAAACTGGCTATCTTTGAGTGGGGCAACAGCATTTTGTCATTTGTATACTTGGAACCTGTTCCCAGGTGAGAGATGTCAAGTCAGGCACTATAGGACTTACAGTTAAATCTCTATTCTTGCAGAGGACCACAAGCCCCTCACTTAACCAACCACCTTTGGTCATGTCCCCCAGGGCCCTTGTCTCCTTCTGTTGTCAATTTTACAAAATTCAGAGAAATGGCGAAATTTTTCTTTACTGAAATGAGTGAAGTAGATCTCGTGGCCCCCGCACATGTGAGCATCCCAGGTGTAGGAAACCACCAGCTCCGCTGGCAGGGCTGTTAGCCTCAGAAGCTGGGGAAGATACACTTGCTGCTTGTACCTCTGGCCAATCATAGACTTTGCTGGTTCACACAAGTCTCAGTCCAGACACCTAAAATCTCTGAGGAAAGAGACACTGCCTCACTATCTCTGACTCCCAAGAGCCTGGGCCAGTAACTGCCAAATCATTGAAAGTGACTCTTCCCACTGCTCAAAGCTCCAAGAAGCAGCCTTGAAAATGTGTGGCTTTCAGAAGACAGCATGCCTCGCTCTTAAAAAACATACCCATCCCTGCCAGGCAGCTAAAAGATCCCAAGAATCCTTCCTTTCTCAGGACACTGTTCCTGGAAGAGTGAGCTGGAATATTGCTTGCAGGCCTGACTGCAGTTTCTATTAGGCTGATCCAATCCACAGCCTCGCCAGTGGGCGCCCGGTGTCCAGAGGCGAGGGGGGCGGGGGTCTCTTTGAAGAATCAGTATCAGATGCTGGGACCATCCCAATCCTTGACCCTTGGGCAAAACACATCAACTTGAAATGGCAAAACCCCCAAGAAAGTTCATTAGAACATCTGGCACCTTATCAGGGATTTATCAAGCTTTCCCGAGTTGATCCAAGCTCTGTTTTAATGAAAATCGCCTGCCGATGAGCAATTTATGCCAAGAATTTTTCCTTTTTTTTCTGTCCCTCCTTCTCCTTCTGCTTTCCTTCTTTCTTCTTTCTTCAATCTCTGGCTTTTACCCCTGCAAAAGTTACTTCTGAAATAGTAACGAAGCCTCTTATTTCCAGGCCTGCTGTATACACTGTTATTATCAAACATTTGTGCGTAGATTAATCGCTCTGTGTCAACATAAATAAGTGTCATGGAATCCGTCATCGCAGCTTGAGATGGGGCCTTACACGAGGCTGAATTACCCTGGACTTGCGCAACAGGGTCCTTGGCCAACACCACATAACCTTTCAGTCTTAATTTGTATAAGTAAGAAAGATCTTATATGTTTTACTGATTTTTAAACTGGTAATTGTATACCAGTCACATATTTTAATTAACTAATTGCTATTCCTCTGTACTTGTGCCGTGAGATGACTTAACTCTAGAAGTTGCAATTACAAAATGAAAATAAATAACTATATTCCAACGGAGTACTGCCCATCCATATAAATCAACAACCTTTGTTCATAGCCTTGGGGAAAATATGACTCTTTGAACAATCAAAATGTCATTACCACAATATTACCATATGCTCCTTTATTTCTCTGTTCTGCCCAGGCCCAGTGGTGCGCTTTGTTTTGTGATTTCTCCACTTACATAAATAAACTTACAATGGCAGTCAATGAAATGAAGAAGAGGTGTAGTTGAGGTCCAAGTGAGGGGCCACGGAGCTCAGGACCACAAATCCTCAAGGGTCTGAAGATGGAAACTCAAGAGCCCCAGTGGTCTGGAAAACATAAAAGATTGCAGAGTCTGAAGGAGAAGTTAACAGCCAGCGGCCTGAAAAGGCAGAGGGTGAGATTAGAGGGGAGCATAAACAGGCAGGGCGCAGGGCATTTTAGGGCCGCTAAACAGCTCTGCGTGCCACTGTGATGGTGGTCACGTGCCATTTCACTTTGGCCAAACCCGTGGAATGTGCAGTGCCAAGAGCGAACCCTGCTGTGCAGCATGGCCTCGGGGTGACGGTGTGCGGACACAGATTCATCACCAGGACACGCATCCTCTGGGGGCACCCAGGGCCGCCGTGAGAGGTGGGGGCAGTACGTGGCAATGCTCTGTGTTTTGTGCTCCATTTTGTTGGACCCTAAAACCACCAAAAACAAAGTCTGTTTTTAAAAGTCTAACATGACTGCTCCTGACATAAAATAAACCAAAAACAGAAAAAAGAATAGGGACAGGTTCGTATAGGAGACGCATTACCTGTACAGTAGGAAAATTCCATCCAGCAACATAAAACTATAGCCCACTCACAACTTCATGAATTTATTCATTGAATAAGTGTAAGAAATGCCAGCTGCTTAAGTGACTATAGGAACCTCCACGGAACCGGAAAGACAAGGCGCAGAGATTAACAGGTAACTAAGTGTTAGAGAGAGCTTGGAGGTGATGAAGAATTAGCCACTTCAGGAAGACAGCTAATCTGCTTCCAGCAGGATCAGTCAGGACGCCGCACGGCAGGTGAAGCAAAGGGTCAGAATCCACAGGCAGGGAGAGGCGCGTCCACAGGTCCTGCCTCAGGCATGGGGACCGAGCAGTGCCCAGTCCTCCTCTGGCTGACTGGGGTCCTTCCAGTCCTGTCCTGCGATCCAGGCCTCCCCCGTATCCTTACTGTCACAATTCATCCCAGTCGCCAAGCCACGTTCATATCTAGTGTGTGTCATGCTGTCTGATCCACTTTATTTCCTTCTTTATTTTAAACTCACTTTTGTGTTTCACAAACATCATATAAATACATTCACTTGATACAAGTTTCAAGCGCTATTGAGTGAATATCGCACTGAACGCTCTCTCAACTCTGTTCTCTAAGAAACACAACCCGCCAACAATTCCTGGAGAGGAATTCACCCCACCTCGCAGACACACTGCCCGCTGGCCCCTTACCCAAGGACCAGACTTGGCTGATTTATAGACTGAAAGAAACATGTGGACCACATACAGTGAAAACATCTCCTTTCCACATGATTCAAACAAACCCACCACAGAACAATTAAGAGATCAGTGAGGCCACTAAAGGTGCAACCATGACGGGCAAAGGGGATGTCCACAGAGCATTACAGCGAACACACTGACTAGTGATAATGGACTTCTGTCTCTGTATTTATGAGTCTTGGATTTTAGAGATACAATCTGAAGCCATTATGAATGAGTTATATGCAGCCTAGGATTTGCTTCAAGATGGTACCATCCAGGGCAGGGGACAGTGTTTTTTTAGGGGGCAGGTGAGACTGAGAGAGGGCTGACCGTGTGTGGATAACTGCAGAGCTAGCTAATGGGTACCTGGAGGTGTGCATGTGCTTAGAATTTTCCATACTAAAACTTAAAGGACAAAAGAAGTGGGAAGCTCTGGTTGCGTTTCACTGCAGGTCCTGGGAGACATTCATTCCTGCTGTCCCCAGGCCACTGGGGGATGGGAACAGCTGATGGGATGTCTGGTGGCAGGCGTGGGCACAAACCTAGCTGAGCGGCCCTAAGTTAAGGAAACTTGACTGCTCTCCTGAGACCTTAGCTTGGAGGTTTCTGTCACTTTGTGGCAGGCTTAGGTCCCCACACCCTGGCTTGATCTCAAACACCCCACATGTCCCTTCCTCATCTGGGCAGCGGCGGGGCTCCAGGACTGCGTGGGAGTCTCTGCCCTGGAATGCGGCGTCCTGACACAAGTGTCACAGGAGCAGAGGTGGCCGAGCAGGGCTCCGGACTCTGCCCAGGAGTGAGGAGATGACTGAAATATTTCCTTTGCAAAGGAGCCTGCGTAGATGGGAAATGATTAATTTGCCATGAGGAATTTTAGACTCTGCAGGGTGGTGCCCTCAGGAAAGAAGGCCTCTCTGAGGAGCCAGCTTGAGAGAGAAGATCCTTGGGTGCCCAGGCACAGGAATGTCCTTCCCCTCCCACGCTCGTGGGACCGTGGCCTCCCCAGAGAACAGAGGCAGCAGGGGATGGGCAGAGAGATGAAACCCATTAACCTGCTTTGGAAACGTTGTGCATTATCAAAGGACATTTGCAAGAAATGAAAAAACGATCTTCGAGATGGGAGGAAATCTTTATAAATCACACATCTGACAAAGGCCGACTATTTAAGACATCTAAAGAACAGCTATAACTCAACAACAAAATTTGGCAAAGGAAGCAAAGAGATATTTCTCCAAGGAAGACAGTCACATGGTCAGTACTCACATGGAATGATACCCACATCACTAGAGAAACGCAAATCAAAACTTCAAGGAACGCTCATTTTATTTCCACCAAGATGCTGTAATTTTTTTAATGTGGAAAATAAGTGTTAATGATGTGGAGAAACTACAGTGCTCATATGTTTCTGACAGAAATGCAAAATGGTAGCACCAACATGGAAAATACTAGGACAGCTCCTCGAAGAACTAGACCTAGAATCCCCACACTATGTAGCAGACCCTCTCTGCTGTAGTCAGGATTTGCAAGGGAATAGATTTAATACAGGACACATAATTTGTAGGATTATTTTATAGTTTTCACCCAAAAGATCAAATGCAGAGGAGTGCAAGACACCTGTCCATGCGCTAGAGACCAAAGAATCCATCTGAGGGCCTAGATCTCCTGGCAATGTCCTGCACAAGTCCAGCCAAACACCTAGCACTGACAGCAATGTCTCATGCAAGTCTGTACCAAGGCTCTGCACTGGGAAGGCCTAAAAGCCAGTGATGGGAGCTAGAAAGTCTGCACCAGCAGGATGAAGGATCTGAGCCAGCAGGCTGAGGATCTGCACTGGAATCAGGAAGCGACACTCAAGCTAAGGACCTCTGTCATCCTCAGTGACAGCAAGGGCCTGAATTCTCCTTTTATGCTGTTGGCAGCCACCCTCAGGTGGGCCTTCCACACCCAGCACCGTGCTCAGTCCAGCTGGGTGGTCCAAGGTGACCATTAGTTAATCCACCACACACTCCTAGGAATAGCTCCAAAGGAACTGAACGCAAGGGCTTGAGCAGGTGCAAAACACTGGTGTCACAGAAGCACTGCTCACAAATGCCACGGAGTACAAATAAACTAAATGTCTGTCAACAGAGGAACAAAACGCGGGGCATACATCAGTGGACTGGGACTCAGCCTGTGCGGGGGCTGGATTTTTGAGAAATTCTCCTGCATGGATAGACCTCGAAAACATGCTAAGTGGAATAAATCAAACGCCCAAGAAACCAAACATTACATGGTTCTTACATGGGATATCTAGAAAAGGCAAATTCATGAAGACAGAAAGTTGATTAAAGCAGGGGCTTAGGACAGGAAAAGTGAAAAGTTATTATTTAATAACCATGCCACAGAGTTCTATCTGGGATGGCGAAAAATATTAAGATGGGGACAGTGATAACTGCAGCTTGCTGGGTATAATACCACACAACTGTACACTTCGAGAGCATTATATTGGCAAATCTGTCACCTATATCTTACCACAATCTAAAAAAGTACTTTAATATACCAAAACCTATAGAATTTACAAGTGAAACCGGTGGATTTGTATGGAATATGAATTATTTCTCAGTAAAGTTAAAGAAACTTTTATTTTTGAGACAGGGCTTCACTGCATATTTCAGGCTGGCCTTGAATTCACTTTGGAACCCAGGCTGGACTTGAATTTGGCAATCCTCCTGCCTCAGGCACCTGTGTGCTGGGATTAAAAAAACTTTTAAAAGGAACCCAAACACCCCGTCCTGGGCTGATGTCCACTGAGGTGTGGGTGATGGAAAGGATAAAACTGCCCGCCTCGCTGCCCTGTGGTTTCCCACTGTTGACCTGGCCCTCTCCTGCAGGCACTCACAGAACAGGTGTGGCCTGTGTCTTCGTGTTTTTTGGTGTTTGGGGGACAGGGGTTGGCTCAGTGTCTACACAGCGCGTCTGCCAAGAACACCAACAAGCACATGCAAAACCCAGTATGCCACAGCACTTCTGCTTGGTAACTCTCAACGACTGAGCCATGCCCTCATCCTTAAACATGAGGAGCAAGTGGCGAGCGGAATAGATGCCTCCAGCAAGAGGAGGCTGAGTCCTCCTCACATAACGCTGGCGGGCAGGGAGAAGCGGGTGGTCACCAGCAAGGCTGTCCTCTGTCCCGGACCAATTGGGGCACCACCAGCCTCATCTCCCTCCACCCCACAGGCCCTGCCCAAGTCCAGCTCCACAGGGCTGTGCAGGAGCCATTCAGCCTGCAGACCCCAGCTGCCTCCTCCCCCTCTGTTCAGGTCTTAGCCCGTTCTCACCGCATCTCCAAACCCTTTCATGACCCCCACCCAGCACACCCCAACTCGGAGTCACTTGACTTTCCTCCTTGTGTCTCCACTCAACACAGGCCGGCTTCTTCCACTTCTGTCTGAACTCTGGAGCCCTGCAGACAGGGGCCGCGGGTTCCCTCCGTCCCCACTGCCTGCATTGAGAAGCTCTGACGTGTTTGCTGAATGAAATGAAGTGAATGGATGAACTAGCAAGCAAGTGGCAGGGCCACCACTTCGGGAGACCTGGGGACAACAGGAACAGGGGAGGAAATCAGGACAACTGCGTTTCCTGGGAGCTGACCGAAGCGGCCCTCTGTGTTCCTATCAGTCCCGTGCATCGCTGGGGCACTCAGATCCTGTTAGGGTTCTACATGGGTGAGTCCCTCTCAAGACCCCCAAAGTCACCCTCTGGAGGCCACTGCAGGCCAGTCTCCGTCGCGTCTGTCCCTCACCTACTTTGATGCTTAGAGTCTGTCCCCCAAATCTCGGGGAAAAGGTCCTCTCCACCACTCTTTGGGGAGAGGGGGAGTGCCAGGGGAGAGAAGTAACTCGTGTTCGCCTCCTCTGGTGTCACTCCAGCCTCATCACATGCCTCAAATCCTCAAAAACCACCATGTTTCCCAGTCTTCCATCTTCTGATTATTGGCTGGTGTGTGGAGAGCAGCATCAGCATGGTGTCCCCTTTGCCCCTGGAATGCCTGGGGTGCTTTCTGTTAAGCCTTCGGGCACCTCCGAGAGGTGTGCCCAGGATCACAGATGCCCAACAACAGCGGACTGTCGAAGCTAATCGAATTCCTACTGTGGCTCAACATTCAGATCTGGAATCTCCCCCTAAGATTTCCAAAAACCCCCAGGGCCCTGGGCTCACTCCGCTCTGTGCCCCTTCATGCTAATATGGAAACTACAACCAACTGAATCTTTACTGCTTTCTTTTTAGTAAATGAGTACGTGCCGGAGGATTTTTTTTACTGCACAATAAAACCAACATAAAGTGAACTTGCTCCAGTCTTTCTAACACGCTCGTGCCTCCCCCTCCCCACTTGTCCTAGTCTTTATTTGGCGCCCTGCCCGGACCTTAATTGGGTCATCAGCCAGGGATGGCAGGCGGCTCCAGCTCGGCACCTCCACTGGGCCTGGGTGTCCTGCTGTCTGCCCGTTCATTCGGGGATCTGTGTGGTGTGGATAGCCTCTGGGATCAGTTTGCCCCCTGAAGGGGGCTTGGCCTCTGTGGATATTGCTTTAATAGACTGGTTGTTTCTGACTCTGTGTTTTTTATTACATTCCTGTGCAATTCTAGCAGCTGTTTTTGTCAAGAGTCTTAATAAAGTTTGAACTGCTAAACGAACTTTATGGAAATTGGTCACAGAAGACATCTACAGAGCACTGTTTTAGAAAGCCAGAGGCAAAACTGCCCCTCGGCTACCTTCCCGAGTAACAGTAGTGACAAAATAGACCCAGGGTGGGAGGAGGGTGGCGTGATAATTCATTTCTAACTGGATTCCCAGGCTAGATTTGTAAGACCCAACCGTCCACAAATGATTGGTTTCTTTAAGTCTGTGGCCATAATTTATTAGAAACACTTGGCTGTGTGGCCCAAATAGGAAGAAACTTTAAAGACCTTTAAAATGAGAATCAACTCAAGTTTCTTGTTTTGTTTTGCTTTTTTTTTTTGTTATATCATGGTTTTATAAATCTAAGACTCAGAAGATGAAATCTAAGAAACTTAATAGTTTTCTTTAGTCTATGAAAGAAAAATAGCCTGAGTTATTATAGTTTACTTCTCTTAGAATAATTTTAGTATAATATTGTCCCCATTGTGTTAAGCACATTAATTTGGCCTGAAGGTTCGCTTGATTCTACAATGTCCACCTGAGCCAGGAAAGAATTCTCACCTGATTCTAGACCTGCCTTAAGTATGCTCCGCACCACCCCCCTCACATTCTTCCACAGTGTTCTGGAAGAACAGTTCACCAACAGACCAAAACTAACCCTTCCTCTCTTTGGAGTGTGACTTCATATGTCTCCAAGAATCAAACACACTCAGAAAGCAATAAAACCAAACGCTTCAGTCGCCTTGGCCAGAGTTGAGCTCCCACCCCCCGGGCTCCTCCACAGTAGTGGGTCCCTTAGGAAGCATCTCCCCGAAAATTCACATCACCACCCACAAGAGGTTTAACAACAGAGACGTTTTTAGCAGTACTGCACCAAATTGAAACAAAATATTTACGTAGAGATGACTCAGTGACTTTAGATAAGTCACCTCGGACCTGTGAAGGGCAAAGGCATAGGTATAATCAGGTTGGCTGTAAGGCCCCTAGCTCCTGGAACCCTGGAGGTTTCTCTCCCAGATGCAAGAACATTTCTGGGATGAGACCAGAGATCCGTGCAAGTGGTGGTCCCGCTGGGGAGAAGTCACAGCTTGAAGACCATTTTCTCTACAGACAGACACTTCCATCTTCTAGGCAAGCTGGCCGGGATAGTGTGGGTAGATTCTCAGGTGCTGCTGGACTGAGCTCAAAGCAAACTGAAATTCACGAAGCCTGTGGTTCCAGGGTCAGCGCACAAACCCGGCTTCCTCTCCCCACTGTTGGGAACTCATCTGATTCCAATTTGCTTTGGTCTGTCAGAATCTATTTCAATATAAAGCAGAGGGAAAATATAATCAAGGTAAAGGGTCTTCCATCCTTTGCAACGATGTCAGAGTGAAACCCACTAGAGGCGATTCTTGGTTCCTGTGGAGAGGTAATGGACACTCCTTCACGCTGTTTTTAGTATTTAAGAAAAATGGCATAATTCCCACCAGTTACGTGCCGGCACTTGAAGGCCTGTGCTGCCAACAGCGAGGGAATCTGCCTCTAATTAGAATGAGGAAGTCTGCCTCTAAGTAGAGTGACCTCCTTCCTGTCCTGCACAGGGAAGCTTGCACTCCTCCGAACGGACAGTGGAGGGCGCTGCTGTACTTGGTGTGTCACATAAAGGCTCTGCAGGAACACTTCCTTTTGCGGAGAAAAGGGACTCTAATGTGAACATGATGTAGGATAATGAGAACAATAACTACATCGACGTATTTTCCCCAGAAGTTGCTTTTTATTTGCCGAGTGTGAGTGTAGGGCTCTGAGCTGAAGACAGCGAGATGAATGAGTGCACAGCTCATTCCAGGACAAACCTGGACAGTACCGTCAATGCTCTCGAGATGAACACAGGGCTCGCGGACTTTGTAACGTGATGCCTTTGACTACTGTACATTAGGGGTTTCATTACATGTCATTGTTCAGCAGTGTAAAGATAGTATAACAGCAATAAAATATAGAAAACAGCGACTTCACATCTGGCCACAATCAGCAGGGTGTCGTGAACTAGACTGACTGCATTTCAGAGCACGAGCCTGGCACAAATGGTGGAAAGACACACTTCTGAGGCGAGCTGTGACGGATGAATATTATTTTCAACTGCCTCACTAAGATCCCTGCTAGCCACTTCTGCATTCCCTCCCTGCAGCCCGAACCCTAAAGACCCAGTTCAATCCTAGCCTTTTTCATTCCCAAGGTAAACTTTCGCTGCTAGGGGAAAGTACTTTTTTTGTAATTTCTCACTAATCTGACACCACTCCCTACCACACAGGTAACTCAATAAATGGATTTAAGAAGCATAAGCAGGCGTGTGGTGTGCTCAAAGACCCTAGAACTACAAGTAAGGAGACCTGGCTTTAGTTCAAGCACTTTTAGGAACCCCAAGGAGAGGTGCCAGATGGAACTGCAGAACCAGCAGTTAAATTTGAAATTCAGATAAATAGCAAATGTCTGGTGATATTTGGGCCATACTTATGTGTAAAACATATTTGTTGTTTATCTGAAATTCAATTTTAGCTGTGCTCCCTCTAATTTGATTTGCTAAATCTGGCAACCCGACCTCCGACACCCCAGGGACACCCAAATTGGGAAGGACTATAATGCCGTCTCTATAGAACTTCCAGTTTAAAATTCCACTTGTCGATGCTGCCTGCAGATAGAAAGAAAAGCCTATGAATTTGCATACATTTATGTGCCTGCTGTAAAGGTTTTAAAAAATATGAGGCATGGGTTTTCTTCCTCTTTCTTCCTTAGAGAGCATGCTGCTGCCAGGAGCCAGATGGAGATGATTTGGCTGACTTATTATTCTGTTTGATGGAAAACGCAGCTTAGGGAGTCTTGTTTGTATTAAGTCAGGCTGGTGACTACAACAGAATTCAGCCCAAGTCACACGAGGGAAAGTCAATTAGCCGCCCATCGACCAGCTCCAGAGAGACACCTGGGGCAGAGCGAGGGGCCCGCCCAGCACCACCCCGACACACGGCACCTGTTGCTCGGGGCTCCGCTTCCATCTTGGCCAGTTGAACGGAGAATCCAGCTCCAGCTGCTTCCTGGGGTTCTTCTTGGGAATGACCGGCAGGTGCTGCAGAATGAGGAGCAAACAGGTGTCCTGCGGGCAAAAGGACCCCGAGTCAGGCTGCCCTAGCTGCCAAGGGAGTGGGGCATGAGGTGATGCCTAAGACTTGCAAGCAAAGGCAACCAAAGTCACGGCACTCTCTGGGCTCTGCGTCATGCTGCTGCCTTAGAATCGCAGCCTGCCTGGACGTGGTGACCAGAGCTCCCCTGTAAACATGGTGAGAAGGTAAATGAGGACAGCTGTAGGATAACAGTTCAGAGGTTCCTCAAAAGCCTGAGACTACAGGTGCATAGGGCCCAGCAATCTCACTGTCGCTCCTGGGTGTATACCCACGGGGCTCCAGGTCAGCATGGGCAGGGCCCTTTCCACCCGTGCTCAGTGCATCGCTGTTCACCACAGCCAAGAGACCAACTGAGCTGAGCGTCCACCAACACAGGCGAGTAATGAAGAAAATGTCCCTGTGCACAATCACTGCTACCCATCCTGAGAGAAAGGAGGAGAGGCCATCAGTTCTGATGACCTGGATGCGCCTGGGGGACGGTGTGCTAAGGGGAGGGATCCAGAGCCCACCACGGTCTCAGCAGCATATGGGGTCACACTCACTAAGAGGACAGCAGAGTGACTGGGAGCAGGGTGGGCAAGGAGAGGCGAATTGGGGTTCCTAGGCAAGGGGTGCAGCAGTGCAATCAGGCAAAGTAATTGATTTCTGAGATCCATCACACAGCAGATTGACTACAGCTCATAATAATGTATTGCAAGCTTCAAAACTGCTAAGAGTAAGTGTCAAGTGCTCTCGTCTCCCCCAAAATAGGTTGAGGGGGGACAAAACTAATCTGCTTAATTTCATGTTTTATATATATATATATATATATGACCATAACCCATAAATATATAAAATTTGTTTTAAAAACATTTGAATGGATTAAAAAGGAAAACAGTTAAACTAAAAAATTTCTAAGTGCAAAAAAATTTTTAGGTAAACAAGATTTGCAGAGTTTCCTTTTTTTTAGTACTGTGAGCTACTTGTTTTAAAGTACCTTTTGAGGGACTACGTTCTAAGGTACTACACTTCAGCCCTTCTAAGACAGCAGGAAGGAAGGCAGGAGGAGGAAGGGAGGGAGGAGGAGGATGAGAAGACAAATACCAGAGTAGCCCAGGGTGAGCGCTCAGGCAAGCAGCGTGAAGGGAGCTGTTGGACCCGCCTGACAAATAAGGTATAAATCAAAGTGATTAAACCTCAGAGTGTAATGAGGACTGTGGGTGCCCTGAGTCCCACAGGTCAATTAACTGTTAGTGAAGCAAAATTAAATATATTTGAGCTCACTGCAGTGAGAAAAAAACAGCACCTGGACAGAACTGGGCAGTGTCTCAGAAGGGCAAAGTCAGAAGTGAGCCATCTCTAGGGCTTTGAGCTCCGGACTCAGGTTGTTGGAGGCTTCTCCAGGCAAAAAACTTGGAAACTGATCACTTAGGATTGGTGAACTCAACTGAAGCACTGTCTTAAAGTAAACTGTCTTGGGAAGTGAGCTGTGGTTCCAATAAGCAAGCTGTTTGCCAGTGAACCTTCACGCTGCTTTCTCCAATAAGCTGACTGTAGGAATTTCCTAAAGCAAACAGCGAAGTTAGTTCTCAATTTGTAGCCTCATCCTCTGTGGGCAAATTTCCCTGGGACAAACAACTGACTCATGTTGACATAGGTGGACTGGGTCTCTGTTCACATGGTGACCTTTGTGTGAGCAGAGCTGGATGCGGAATTGCTACTTACTGAGCACCTACTGCAAGCACTGTCCAGAGTTTCGCACCTGGAAGCAGCCTCGGTCTGGCCACTGATGGGCTAGGAAACGATTCTAAATGATGTTAAGTCATTGGCTAGGTCCATTTGGTCATTATGACCTGAAAGAGAGAAAAGAAAGAAAAAGAAAGAAAGAAAGAAAGAAAGAAAGAAAGAAAGAAAGAAAGAAAGAAAGAAAGAGAAAGAAAGACCACAGAAGCATTTATCTGACATAAACAGAACTGAGGCACATTTAAAGGTTTTCACTGAAGTCCGCAGCTCTCTGGAATGACTCCAGGACAGTGTGGAAAGATGCAAAGTTAGTTCCCCTAAACTTCTGTCTACAATGCTTCCTTCTTTGTCAGTGCTTCTGACGAAGAATGTATTGATCCGCTTTTCTGCTGCCGGGACAAACTGCTTGACACCCACCACTGGAAGGAGAAGAAGTCTATTTTCACGGTCACAGAGGATTCAGGCCATAGTCAGCTTTCCCATGTCTAGGCACCATGGCAGAAGGCCACAGTGAAGGCCAGCTGACAACTCAGGGCAACCAGGAGGCAGAGAAGAATGGGGAAAGCCAGAGAAGGGTCAGGGCCGAGGACAAGAGTACACCCTTCTGGGTTCCATCTCCAGTGACCCCTCCTCTAACCACACCCACATCCTAACAGCACATCAACTCTGAACCCAGAAGTGGATTAATCCACTGGTGAACCTAGCACCTTATGATCCAGGAGTATTCCAAAAGCCCAGTCTGTGAACACAAGAGCCTTTTGGAGGACGTTTTAGATCAAGCCCTAACAAAGATGAGCACCGTTCCCACGAAAGAGACAGTCACGATCAGACTTACTTGCCTAATTCAATTCAGTGTCTGCTCCACCTACCTGTAAGCTGGATGCTACAGACACCCCCAAACCCAGCCCCTCAACTCAGACTTTGTGCTGAGAAAGCGGCCTTTTGGACTTCACCTGAGGTCTGAGAAACGGTGTTACTTTCCTAAGGAGTTAAATGTTCTGAGCACTGTAGCAACTTTTCTCTCCCAGTATAATCCACCAAAAACATGGCCTAAGTCATAATAACAACCAAGCCCTCCGTTTTCAAAGTAGGACATGAAACTATATCTCAGTGACTTCCTTTGACCCAAAAGAAAAATGCAAAGCTGGCCCTGCTTGGCTTATCTTCATGTTAATCGTGGAGGAAGAGGGTGTTTAAAACACTCAGCAGATTAATACCATTTTCCCAACCTTTGCCTCTCAGTGTTGGGTGCCTCCTGCACTGTGGTATTTGTTTAAATCAACTCCAATGACCTTACTCTCTGTATTTATTATGCTTTGTAATAATATTGTAGCCATCTCTATTTTTTAAATTCCACGCTACTATAAAATATACACTGGATCTATCACTATTTCACCAATCTGCTCATGACTTTGAACTCATAAATGGGTTAGCTTCAAACCTTCTCTTTCTGAGAAAAATAAGATAAACTCTTTTTCATTTACTTTGGAAAGTGCTATCTTCTTTGTTTTAAATATACGGCTTAGATCTATGTTTTCTTTTGAATAGAATTTTCTGTTTTTCTTATGCCGAGCCTGGACAATCCTCTGTGGAAAAACAGAACTGTTTTTGGACAAATGCTGGTATCACAGATTTAAGGAGAACATAATTTTTTATGCACAAAAGAGAAATTTTCTTTAGCTCTTCACTCAACAAAAACAGCAGTTTTAGATTCTACTCAGATATTTTAATGTATTTCAGCATATTTGTAGACTAAAGATAATTTTCAACTGATTGCAAGTGAAATATCTTTCTTGTGTTGAACCAAATAGTTACCAAAAAAATGGCCTAGAATTTGTCCTTTTTTTTTAGAAATGCTATATTGACGTTTTTCACTGTGGTGAGAGTGTATTTTATTTACAGAGACAACATAGCAACGTAAACAGGTGTGAATAAACTACCAGCAATGTGCAAGCCAGCTGAAGAAGGAAGATATATTTCATCCATTAAAACTGGCAATTAATAAGTTAATTAACATTTCTGTCTGGCCAGCCTAATGTACTCTTGAGCATGAAATGGAGTCAGAGTTTTGGTAACTGTGATTAGTGTTACAAATTGCAAGTTACCAAAACTCTACCCACTTAGAACTGCATTTCTCAGCCTTTGCTCAGAATCATCTTTCCAGAGAACATTTCAACACTTTAGATAAATCTCCCGCGACTCCCCTAGCCCTCAGACACAGTGCGGGGGTTCCATGCATGTGTCTGCAACATCCATACAAACAGGGAACATTTTTGGGGATCACCCCCTAAACCAACTGTTACTTCTTTTGAGTCGCTATTACCCCTGTTGATTTTGAGGGCTCTGAAATGTTGAGAAAATTAGCAGCCCCCAAACTCTGGCTTGGAAAAAAGTTCACTCTACTTTTCTTGAAGCAGAGCCAAAAGAATGGACCTAATTAGAACAAAATAATTAAATCCAAAATCCTTTTCTGGATTTGGGTAGGAAAAGAGGAACTCCAACTGTCAACTATTTTCCCCCGAAAACACTAATTATCATCTAACGGCAGCAAGCATGTCACTGACTGAGGGGAGACACTTTCCTTGGGCACTGAGCCCTGTGAAGAACCACAGACACCACCCCACCTTCCATTTTTATTCCTACTCACACACCAGCCCATGTGCCCAGCCAGCTGCCTAGGGGTTAGGATGCGCCCAGGATGGGTTTATTCCACCAAGGAGACCAAAATTTTAGGAACAGTAAAAAAATAAATAATGCTACACAGTCCAAAACGCCTAGAATCTAAAGAAAGAAAATATACTGCAGTTGTCCTTGTCTTAAGACTGAGTTACACTCGGATAAGCCGATCGCGGGTTGATAATGCACCAAACAGCCCTGCTCTGCCAGCTGCGTGGCTTCCACTACAGGGCATCGGCCACCCCACTTGCAGTTGCAGGGTGACTGGGGCCTCGGGCTGCTGCCACGGCAGAAGACCAGACCCCGTATCGCTAACCCGGGAAAGGTCCCAGTTTAACATTCAACGTACGGCTGCTACTGGAGGCTATGACTTTCACACCTTTGTAAAGTCAACAAGTCCTAAGCCCAGGCCTTGTGTTTGGGGACTCTGTGCACTTCCCTGCACGGAAGAGAGGCACAGTAATAACGTCAGGGCTCCCGACTGCACATCGCAGCCCAAGGACACTGTTGGGTGTGCAGACCATTGCCACACTTTGCAGACAGCACATCAGTAACCTGACTTCGGCCATCCAAA